CTCCATTCTGCAAGGAGCATCTTATGTTGTTTGCTTTTTTAATAATTTTTTTTTGTTTCTGTGATTGAAGCTTGTCTTTATAAGAAAGAGCCCACAGATTTTAACTCTTTGATGGGGGTTACCAAGAAGTAGTTCTTATACACCATTTCTTTTGCAAAGATATAAGATATCACTACTTCCCAGTGTCTTTCACTGTTTTAGAATCCTGACACTACAGAAAATAAACCAGATGAGCAACTTTCCCCAAAATGGTCCTCCATGCATGGTGTATTAGCCTAAAGCCCAAGCCACACACACACACTGCAGACGAATGGGTAAAGGAGGTATACATTAACAACTTCGTATTTTATATTTTTTTAAAAAAATGCAAAATTGGTACCAATAATATGGAGGGCTCAATAGAAAAGTAATACCTCACAGCAAAAGACTTGGAAAACAAGTGGATTAATGGATGAACAGATGAATATTAAAGGGATGATATGTTGGCTTAAGGCATTCTGGGAAGAAGGAACATCTGCTGAGAAAATATTCCCATCAGATTTGTTCTGTGGGTAAGGCTGTGAGATATTTTCTTGATTTTGGGTTGATGTGGGAGGGCCCTGCTCATGGTGGGCCAGGCTAACCTCAGGTAGGTGGTCTTAAGTTGTATTTTAAAAAAAAGCAAACTAAGCAGTCTATGAGGAGCAAGTCAGTCTGTAATGTTTTTCCATGGCTTCTGCTCCAGTGCCTGCCTCTAGATTCCTGCCTTGAGTTCCTTGGTGACAGAGTGTTACCCGGGAGTTATAAGTTGATGGGGACACTTTTATCCAAGTTGTTTCTTGTCATGGAATTTAATCACAATAGAAGCCTTAACTGAGGCAGATGGATGGAGAGAAGGATTGAAAGACCGATAGATAATTTCAAAAGGGATTGGTTTACTCAGCCATTCAGGCTCACAAAGCATATCTGGAGGACACAGCACAGGTAATCAGAAAGGGAAGATGGACACAAGCAGGAAGTGACAAGCCATGACTGAATCTCCTTGTCAGAAAAAGAAGGTCAGCAACAGCCTAGACTTATAGTCAAGAATTGCTGGAATCTCTGAGCTCACAGAACTGCTAACTCCTGAAAGAGCAAATCTGGCTGACCATAACATAATCTCTGATGATTAATTTTAAGTCAGCTGATTAGAGACATTTATTTCCTCTAACAGTCCCTTCACAGCATCACCTACATTAATGTGTGATTGAATGACTAGAGTGTAGTTTAGCCTACCTAGGATGACACATTAAAAAGCCATCACAGCACAGCTACTTGTCTAGTATCAGACAGCTGTTAAGTGGCTGGGCTGAAACTGGGATTCTGTTCTCCTCCACAGCAAGCCTATCAGACACTCATAGACTTCACTCTGTTTTTCTTGAAGACATCTCTAACAGGAAAAATTTTAACCATGTCTCCCCGTTTTTAAAATGATTAAAAAGTAACCTACGAGTGATTTAATATTTATAAATTTTATTGTGGGCAATATAGCTGTGATTGTACTTTAATTGAGACTACACATGCAGTTTTTGATTTGTGACAGCTTATGACAGAAGTCAGACCAACTTGAACTTCTAGAGTTTTGGAAAAATGAGCGATTTTCCTAGAAAAGCCCAGGCTTACTCTTGCCAGAATAAAGGTAGTTTATTAAGTTGATATTTAAGAGAATCAAGGTCCATGATGATTTATTTGTTCAATATTATTTAATAGTAATTCAAGAGATGTAATTTGATAGTATTAAAGAATAGAATGAGATATGATGCTGTTGTAGAATATGGATATCTAAATGTGAACAAGAACAAATTGTATTAATGATTGATGACATTTAATAGCATAGCCTAAAAGAATATCTTATGAACAAGGCAGACAGTGCCTCAAAAAGCACACATAAATAAATAAACCAACTCTGTATATTGATGTCATCTTGGAAAAACTATGCTTACTCCTGCCAGACAAGTTATTTATATTTCTAAATATAAATGACAAATTTCTATGACAATTTCTAGTCAAGACAACTTCTGTTCCAGTGGAAATGATGTCACCAAGCCTAGTTCTGCCTCCTTACTTGCTGATAGTCAAAACATCTCAAAACGTTTGTGTTGTAGCATGATGGCATATCCAGAGATTGCTATTATAGGCTGTGCCTTCGTTATTTCTGTTTTATTCACAGAGAGTCAGGGTACCAGAATCTATTGCTATACTTTAGATTTCTATATCAACTTTATTGCTTTACATTGTGATAGGCCCCTTTCATAATAAAACATTTATTATAACAGCTTTTTATTTTAAATGTTAAAAATATTCTCTTGATATTGTTCCTTTAGTTATATGAAATTATTTTACACTGATGTGTCTGCCTTTTACCCATTGCTACTTTCCGTTCCTCATCCTTGCTTTCTTCCTTCATAATCTCCTCAGCTATTTTGTTTTGTTTTCTTTCGTTTGCTGTTCTATAGTTTTAAAACACACTTTAGTATTTTTATACACTTTAATGAAAACTAAACTAGATATGCATGCTGATAAGAACAAGGAGAAAGGGGCCAGGAGAATGGGAGCAAGAATTGCTTTCTGCAAGTGGCTTCCCTGAAGTGGAGTAAATTCTATACCATTTACCTAAACTATTGAATCATACCAAAATAAAAATTTGGGTAATAAGAACTCTGCAGTCCTTAAATGATAGATTATTTTGAGGCTCTTGGCTTTTAAGTAATGCACACATGAATCTGTGACAGTATAGCTCATGTAATGAGCATATATGTGGTTTCATGGTATGGCTGCTAAAGTGTTTTCAAAGCCCCATTTGTATTTATTCTAGCAGAAAGAAAATGCATTACACTTCCCAAGCTTAAAAATGAAAATGCTTGTTTGTTACATATAGACTATTACAACCCCCCCCCCACTACACACACTGTGATGGTCTGCATATGCTTGGCCCAGGGAGTGGCACTATTTGGAGGTGTGGCCTTGTTGGAGTAGGTGTGTCACTGTGAGCATGGGCTTTAAGACCCTACTCTTAGCTGCCTGGAAGCCAATATTCTGCTAGCAGCCTTTAGATAAAGGTGTAAAATTCTCAGCTCCTCCTGTACCATGCCTGCCTGGGTGTTGCTATGTTCATGCCTTGATGATAGCAGACTGAACCTCTGAACCTGTAAGCCAGCCCCAATTAAATGTTGTCTTTAATAAGACTTGCCTTAGTTGTAGTGTCTGTTCACAGAGGTTAAACCCTACTAAGACCCGCACACTCTTTACATCTTGTAATATGTGTGGCTACATGTGTCATGGTGCACATGTGAAGGTCAGAGAACAATTTGCAGGAAAATTTGGTTCTATCCCTCCACCATATTAATTTTAGAGGTTGAACTTGGGACCTTATGCTAGATAACAAGCACCTTTGTCCATTGAGCCACATTGCTGGGCCATAAAATGTTTAAAAATAGAATTCTCTTTTAAACATTAATCAAGGGATAAAATTATAATTTTTTAAAAATTTTTCTTCCTTTTGACGTGACAATCCATAAAAATGAGCAGAATATCACCTTTTGATTTATTAGCTGCAGTGATATTCTTCCTGTAGCAGACATAAAGACCTGTATTACATATTTGTAAGTCCAAATCCCATCATTTCAATAGTTTTCTTCTATGAAGAAGAAAGAAACCCCAGCTTCTTTCAAGGGCTAAGAACGTCAGGTCTGTCTCAGAAACCTACCAGAATCCACAGAGTTTGTGAGTCAATAAACCAGGTCCTTAATGAGTGATGATTTAATATGGAAACCAACATTTTAATTTAATTTTTTTTTCATCCCAAATGTTTTGCCAATTTCTCTGTAGCTTGCCTTTGTCTTACTAGTGGGGGAGTATGGGTAGGGGTAAAGCTGGAACTCAGCAAATCCTCACATGCTAGGAAGGTTTTTTAGAACAGAACTTTTATTTTGATTGGCTATTGTGCTTTCGGGCTGTTACAGTTCCCTTCTTCCATATAGAAGGATAAATTATTTGGGCCAAACAATACAATGTGGTTTGGAAACAATTGGCTTTTATGGGCACAGTCTTATTCTTTCCATCTCCCTTTTTTTTTTTTAATGTGAAAATCAAGCCAAGTTTTTTTTTTTTTTTTCAGTCAAAACTATGCAATTTCCCAAAATTCATGGAAAAGACAGCTTGGGTTGTTTGTGTGTATGTTCATGTGTGTGCATCTCTCTCTCTCTCTCTCTCTCTCTCTCTCTCTCTCTCTCTCTCTCTGTGTGTGTGTGTGTGTGTGTGTGTGTGTGTGTGTGTTTCAATTCCTGCTTATGAAGAAAAAGAGCTGGTTGTATAAATCCAGCATATATAGTTGGGCACCTGTGCAGACTCTGTGTTTTGAGCATTCTGCATGACAGACTTTGTCTTCTAATTTAATTCGTCAAGTCCTTAAATGCTGGTCAGATACTCATATGTCAGTCATATTCAGGTGCAAACCAGGTAACTGAGAGAGCCCCGGTTTGGCTATCCCCATCTTTCTTTTGTGCTCACATTTGCAAATGGAAGTAATTTTCATCTTGCAGATACCCTAGAGGGGCTCGTCTGTCCTATCTCTTTTCCACATCCAAGAAGTTTCTTTGTCAGGCTCGCATTCTCCAATGCCAGATGGTTGATGCCGCCCTACAAGATCATATTTTGAGTAAGGAAGACCAGTTTAGCAGGTAGATGAGGCAACTGTTAAATTTGTTGCATTTCCAGAATCAGAAATGCACTCCAACACAAAATGAATGAAATTGGTGTAGTTTTGCTATTACTCTAAGAATCGGGTACAGCTGCTCCTTTACAAGTATTTGGGGTGGGGGTACTAACAATTCTAATTCCTCGTGTTTCTCAGACTCTCGTTTTAAAGGGCTAAGTAGTAAACAGTTCAATGGGCTGAAACTATCTACTGTTACTGCATTCATAAGCTTTGTTTTCCTTCGTAGTCTAACACAAGAGAGAATATTTCTTACCAAAGTACAGACCTGAAAACTTGAAATACGGCCAGTCAAATTGTTCAGTTCTCCTGTGTGGTTTCTTTTTCATGTACTTGGTGTGATGAATCTATGCGATATCTAAAATGAGTAGAAGAAAATGTTAAACTTCTAACTATACATGTGGTGAATATTTTAAATACTTGTCAGAACTTCAAGTGTTTGTTCTTTTCAGAAAATTAAAATGCATTAGATCACAAAAGAAATGTGATTGTCTATTTGTATGACTGCTAGGGGCTTGTCAGCACAATAATATAGGAAAATAGTGCCAACAACATAACATATTGGTTCTTACCAGACTGGAATTTGGTGAAATAAGCCTAAGTAGACTGAATTTTGTCCTCCCTTAACACATCCCAGGTTAGAAAACTCCCTGAGAGTACTTATGCATTATAGACAACTCAGACACTATAATTAAATTAGCCTTACAGATCTTACAGGCTCACAGATCCTATAGATGCAACTATTTTTAAAGAAGAACAAGATTTTCATAGAGAAAATATGAATTATACAATAGTTGCACCGAGTCTTTATTGCTCATGTACACGAGGTTCAGAACCATAATGACGATATTCGGCACTTAAGTCATTATGCTGTCATATTACAGAAAAATTATTTGCACTGTATAACCATTGTTTCCTTCTTGTATTGCATAGATATGAGCTCAGTTCATCTGTCTTTGTCATTAAAAGGCCCAGTTTGTCACTGTAAATACCTGCTTTTTAAGGACAGTTTGTGTATGTTGTGATTCAAGTTCATGTTGATTAGACCTTTGTTTTCTAAAGCTGGAAATTGAGATTGAAGGAAGAATTCAATCTGCCTTGTGGTGGCACTGCTTATGACTTTATCATGTCAACTACTTCATAGTTTACATTTTAATTATATAAAAACTGAACATTTCCAAAAAAGTAGGAACATGTTTTTTATTTCCCTACCAAAATTTCTGTCTTATTCATTCTATTTAAGAACTGTTCTTATTAAAATTATAGTGGTATTCCATATTAATTATTTTTCTTTGGAGATGTAAACATAAATATTTTAAATGATCTTTGATTATTAATTTTAATAAAAATCAAATCATTTGGAAAACATTGCTAAAACTGAAGATCCTTTGCAAACAAAATCTTGTCTTTGGTTTGGAGAACTGGTCCCACAGTGTCACAAATCTCTGAGAAATATGTATTGCCATTTTCAATCAACTATCAGATGGCATTCCTGAACTCTGTCTTGCTTATAATATAATATAGTCTCTCTCTCTCTCTCTCTCTCTCTCTCTCTCTCTCTCTCTCTCTCTCTCTCTCTCTCTCTCCCTCCCTCCCTCCCTCCCTCCCTCCCTCTCTCTCTCTCTCTCTCTCTCTCTCTCTCTCTCTCTCCCCCCAGTGTGTGTGTGTGCATGTATGTATATGTATACATGTGTGTGCGTGTGTGTGTGTGTGTGTGTGTGTGTGTGTGTGTGTGAGAGAGAGAGAGAGAGAGAGAGAAGATCAAGAAATGTACATTCTTCTGAGTTCAGGTGAGTATTGGGTAAAACGGAATTGATTCCATCCTGTCGAAATGGTATTCAAGTAAAGTCACTAGTCTGTACAAATCATTCTGAAGTCAAGTCAAGTGAGTTAAGTAGAAAAAGCATTAAAAAGTTAAGTCAAATCCCAAATCAATCCAAGGAAATATATTCACTATGTCTATGATTTGGGGAATACAGGACAAGATTCATGTTCTTTCTTGCCAAGGACCAGCCTAAGCTTGGAGAAGACTTCTGATAAAGAGGTGTCTGAGAGCAGTGAAAGAACAACTCAAAGTCAAATTGTGGGTTATAAGCTTATGGCCTATGTTCCACTTGAGACAGCTTTCATGTAGCCCTCTGATCAAGGCAGCTCTCTCTAGCAATTCTCAATACCTCTCTGGATAGCTATCTCTTGCATACTAAAAGCCCAGTCTTTTATTTACATATTAATTCAGTCATTACCCCAGGTTCCCTTTTGATTATCCCATAAATCAGCCTCCCATAATACCAGCTCCTTTATTCTTAGATAAAGAAAACAAGCACATTTTTTTTCAACATTACAAATGAATTCAGAGATCTGCCTGCCTTTGTGAGCACAGATAATGAGCTATCTGGGTAGGATTCAGTCCTGAGATTACCATTTCCACTGTGCATGGGCCCAACCTAGATTTGTTTCAGGTTGTCCTTGAACTCAGGAATCTTCATGCCTTTGTATCTGCCTCCCTTTGTATTTTTCTGCCAAGCTGCTTCACAGTGCAGCTGTCTCTGTTTAGGTCTGAGAAACTCCTTATGCAATTCATGTTGCATTCTTATATTTTGCATAGTTGAGAAATTGTCCATTCTTGAACTCGTGTTTTCAGAGTTCTTTCCCACAGCCTTAAGGACTGTTCTGAAGGTCTCGGTGTATACCATTTTTGCAGAGACACTAGCCACACCTGGCTTCCTGGGCTCATGCTGTGACTGATTTTCAAGGAGAAATTTACCTTTGCAAAAAGGGCATTCCTCAAAGGCAAAGCATGAAAATATATACTTTATTATATAAACAAGCCTTATGTCCACAGCAACCATTGACATTCATGAAGACCCATGCCCTCTTGGCTCTCTGCCAAGAGTCCTACCCATATTATATTATCCCTTACATGGCCAAGCAGGGCTGGGGTTCTTCTCTATTTCACCAACTGTCTCAATGCACTTCATGGACATTATTGTCACTTTGCTGTAGGTTCTTATGAATGAACTATTGCTTAATAGTAAAGATGGTAGAATAAGCACTGTCATCTTGACACCAGAAAGTCTTCTGGGTACAAAAAGATCATATTTACCAGAATCCCTCGCAAAATTTAGTTTGCACATTTGCTCTCTCAGTTATAGAGATTATCCTGGTTTCATTTCTGTTGCTAGATAAAATACTCTGTCTAAAAACAACTTGGAAGAGAAAGGGCTTGTTTGTTTTACATTATCAGGTTACATACTATCACTGCAGGGAAGTCAAGACAACAGAACCTTGAAGAAACTGGCCATATCCACTGTCATGAGCATACTGTAAAGGAATGAGTTCAGCTCACTTTCTCATTTTCCATACTGTCTTTGACATAAACCTACTGAGTAGTATCGCCCACTTTTAAGCTGGGTCTTCCCACAACAATTAGTATAACTCAGACAATCTCCTATAGACATATCAACAGTCTAACCTGATCCAGAGAAACTTTCATTGAAACATTATTCCCAGATGAGTCTACATTATGTCAAATCAACGATTACAAATAACAGAGGGTGACTAGCATCTATAAATATTTAAGGTTGGCATATTAAAGGAGAGAACATTTGTAAACAAACATTTTAAACTCAAGAGCCTAATGATTGTAGAAAAGTAAAGTGCAGCTTGCATGGCCTGCTGTACTAACTAGATGTACAACTAGAATTGAAAAGTACATCTTCTTCTGAGGCTTGTAAGTCTAACCCTGAGCTGATTTAGGCTTCCTTGTTCTGCAGCATGACTCCCCCATGGTTACTGGAGCCAGTTCTTTTTATGACATGACACCCAGAAACTGTGTGTTATTTTTTTCTCATTACTGTGACAAGATGTCTCATAAAAGCAACTTTAAAAGGGAAGGTTTATTTTGGCTCATGGTTTAAAAAGGCTTACAGTCAATCATGGCAGTAAGGCAGTAAGGCAGGATCAGGAGACAGCTGGTCACATTGCACCTATGGCCATAGAGTCAAGAAAGATAAATACTGACTCTCGGTTTACCTGCTTTTTTTGTTGTTGTTTGTTTTTGTTTTGTTTTTCCTTTTTATTCAAATCATGTCTCCGACCATTAGGATAGTATTACCCACGCTCAGGAAAAGTCTTCTTTCCTCAGTTAACCACTCAAAACACCCTCACACACAGGCCAACAGAAGGTTGCTTGCCATTTCCAAATTCTGTCAAACTGGAAAGGAGGTTAACAACCACAGCCTGGCTTTAGCCTGCACTGTCTATGCCGCCACCACCACATGACTGTTGAGCATTTGCAATATAGCTCAGTATAAACAAAAATATGCTATAGGTATAAAACACGTACCTGACTTTAAAATTTAGTACAAGAGAAAAAGAATATGCAATATTTCAATAGTTTAAAATTGGTTATTCAGGAAGATAGAACAAATTAAAGAAAATATAATAGTAAAATTAATTCCAACTGTTTTTATTAAACTTTTTAATGTGGCCATTAGGATATTTTAAATTATTTATGTGGTTCACACCATATTTCCTATGGGCACTGGTGGTCTTGGAGTTCTGAAACCTCTGCTGCAAACCAAGATGCTCTCTCTAAGAATTAATTTCTGTCTCTCCTCCCTTTTCCTGTATCTCTCCTTATTTAACCCATTAATGATACAAAGAGTTCCATTTATACTCATTAGAATCTTTGTACTTATAATTATTATTTGTAAAAAAAAGAAAACAATATTTTTTTTACTTCAATCTTGGTTCAACTTCCTGTCATCTGGAATTATTTTACCATATCTTTGTAGGTGTAAGCATCCTTCATATATTTAATGGAATTTTTGAAAATTAAATTCTATTATTCTAATAAGATAAAAGATAATATGAGTTTGTATTCACATCTATGCATATGCAAATAAGAAATGGGTACCACAACTACTTCTAGATGCTCCAGGTTTTAAGTGAAGGTTTTAAGAGGAGTTTGTCTTTTTCTCAGTTTGTGGATATAAACTTATATTGTCACTTAGCAATAGTTATTAATCATCATTTTCTTCTTGTGAACTATTGAATGCAGTCTATTTTCTTAGGTAATTTTATCTATAAATATTAAAATATTTTTTAAAATGATTTAGGAGGTTTTATTTTTCTAGACAATGAAATTCAGAATATTCTCCAATTCATTCAATGTGTACTCTCCACTCATTTGCCCAAATCTTTTGTAACACTAAAATCATACTCCCTAAAATTAAACTGTAATTATCAAGCACTCTCTTAACCTGTGCAAGGCCTTGATCTGGATCCCCAGCAAATCAGAAAATAACAATGCTAAATGGACAAAACTGTCTCTTGGTGCAACTACAATATTAGCAT